CCTCCTCCTCCTCCTCCTCCTCAACGCCGCCACCTTCTATCTTCCTCCTCTCTTCATTTCTCCATTGCTCCACTCTAATACCATGGCTATAATCGTACTCTCATCATCCCCTGAACCCTGGTGCTGCCTAGGGGTTCGGATCAAGGAAGTTCTGCAAGGAGCTGATAGAAGGCGGTCTTATGAGCATAGGAGGGCAGGAGGTGTTGGACTCAAAGGTAAGTTTTGCCTCCTCCCACCTGCGATGATCATACGTGAGATGCTCAATGGAAACAGGAGAAGATCGAAGTGCAGGAGGGTATGGAGTTCGCGGTGGGCGAAGAAGAATGGCAGTACCGCACCAACGTATACGTCGTCCTGAACAAGCCCGCAGGTGGAGTCTCACCTCCCCTATCTGTCCCCGTGAACGAGACTCCTCCTCCCTCCTCTTGCTGTTCAGGGTACGAGTGCTCCAACAAGCCATCTGCGCACGCCTCCATCTTCGAGTTGTTCCCCGAGCAGTTCCAGGTAGGAGGAGCAGGAAGTTGTCAGAGTAAGTCTGACTGCAGCTGAACCAGGTCAGGGGGGTTCAGAGCGTCGGGAGGCTGGATCAGGTGGGCTGGAGGAAGCAGCTTCAGCAGGAGGGACTGAGAGCCGCACAGGACACGACAGGGATGCTACTGCTGTCCGACGACGGTCAGTTCATCCATGCAATGACGTCACCGTAGGGCGATCGTGTTGGGTCGGGCGATGAGTTGAGGGGATGGCAGGAAGCGAGAGAAGGAGAAAGTCTACCACGTCACTGTCAAACATCGTGAGACTCCAGCTGGAGACTTGCTGTGATTCTCTGCTGTTTGACAAGCTTGACCACAGCGGTGACACCAGAGCTCGTCGACTCGCTGTCAGCTGGCGTCGAGGTGTGTCGATGATGTTGGAGATGATGATGATGATGATGATGATGATGATGATGATGATGATGATGATGATGATGATGATGATGATGATGATGATGATGATGAGTGAGGGGAGGAGGAGGAGGAGGAGGAGTCGAGGAGGAGGAGGAGGAGGAGGAGGAGGAGGATCAGGAGGAGGAGGAGGAGGAGGAGGAGGAGGAGGAGGACGACGACGACGACGAGGAGGAGAACGAGGGTGAGAAGGATGAGGAATAGAGAACAACAGAAAGGTACTAAGATACTTTCGATTCGGACGGCATGGAGGGATGAAAGGGAAGGAATATGAAGTATGTAGGGGAGGAGGAAGTTAAGGAACCTTAGACGTGGACGGAAGAAAATCAATCCTGTTTGACATCTGAACCCCCCAGCTGAAGGACGAGCCGGGGACTATCGTGACACCGACAGCTGTCAAACAGCTGGAGGAGACATTGGTAGAGCTGTCGCTGACTGAGGGCAAGTACCACCAGGTCGAAATTTGACAGCGATGTGCAATGTTTGATACCAAATGTCGAATGTACTGACAAGACTTGGAAACGTCTTGTACAAAATTTGAATTGTGCGGGAGATACTTGGAAAGGTCTTGACAGTCGTGCAGGTCAAGCGCATGATTGCTGCGTGCGGTAACAGAGTGGAGAAACTACACCGAGCTTCCATCGCGGGGATGGTTGTCCCTGCTGCTGCTCCCCCTCCGCTGCTGCTGCTGCTGCTGCTGCTGCTCCCCCTCCGCTGCTGCTACTTTTCCCTTCCCGCTGCTCCTGCTGCTCCCTCCCCTGCCCCATCTCCTCTGCTCCGTTCCCCTCTACCTCGTGACCTGACAAGCATCTCCCAGGAGCTGCCGGCAGGGCTAGAGGAGGTGGGAAACCTTTGCTGGGCCTCCTTGGACTTGTTCTTGACCTGATGCGAGCAGGGCGGCTGGAAATACTTGACGGAGGAAGAAGTCAAGCAGCTGCTGTCAGGCCATCTTCAAGCTTCAATCAAATAAGATACAAGGAATCCCTCCTCCCGCCCCTTGTCTACACCTCGCTTCCGTTGAGCTCTTCCCCCCATCCCTGCATAATTTATACTCCTTCCGCTCGCGTCGCCGACTCTCCGTCCCTCTTCTTTCAATCCCGTCCTTCTCTCTTCCTTTTCTCTTTTCTTTACTCTTCCTCCCCCCCCCCTCCTCCTCTTCCTCCTCTTGCTCCTGCTCCTCTTCCTTCGCCTCCTCATTTGACTCTCCCGTCGATTTCTCACGTCAAATCTGCTCGTCCAATATTCCTACACTCTGACCCTCCGCCCGCATCTTTCTCTTCTCCCTGACACCCAGCACGTCACAACAAGAGCTTGACAAGCTTTGACAACCTCTCAACCGTCGGCAGCTCCCCCAGCAGCTGGGCGAGTCGCTGCTGTTTGATGTCGTAGAAGTCAAAGAGGGTGGTCAAACGCCGGCGAAGCTCAACGACGTTGGGCGGCTTCTGCCTCTTTACAGCTGACAGTGACAGTGAGAGGAGGAGGAGGTTGGGGGGAGAAGAGAGAGAGAGAGAAAGGGAGGAGGGAGTGAAGAGGAAGGGAGGAGGGAGGGAGGGGAATGGAAGGAGGAACGAAGAAAGAAGGGAGGCAGAGGAAAGGTGAAAGGAAAGAGGAAGGGAGGAGGGAGGAATGAAGAGCGGAGAGCGGGAAAGAAAGGGGGCAGGAGGGATGAACATGCGGAAACGAGGAGGAAGTAATCTACCAGTGATCATCAGATTTTTTGCTGTGTGCTCGCTAGATATGAACTCAATTACGTTCGACCTGCAAAGAATCGAAGGAATAAGAAGCTGAGTGCGAAGAAAGCGGAAGAGGAGGGAGCAAGAAGGGGGAAGGGATGTGGAGGAGTAAGGAGAAATGCAAAGAGGAGCAGAAAGAGGAGGCGGGCAAGGAAGGAAAGGCGAGGGAGGGAGAGGGAGAGAGGAACGAAGGGAGAGAAGCGAGAAGGAGATAGAGAAGACGAGGAGACGAGGCACGAGAGATGGAGAGAGTGAGCAAAAGGAAGGGGAGACAGGGGAAGGGGAGGAGACTAGGAAGGAAAGTGGGGGAGGAGAGAAAGGGGGCAGAGAGAGGAGAGAAGAAGAGGACAAGAGAGGGAGGACGAGCAAGGAGAAGAGAGGGAGGAGAAGAGAAGGAGTTTGAGGGAGGGAGGAGAAGGGAGAGGAGGAGAGGAGGAGAGGAGGAGAGGAGGAGAGGAGGAGAGGAGGAAGCAAGTGCCCTCAACTTAGAGCAGTATAGTGTCACCTGTAACCAGCAATCTCAAGCAGAAGGGCGCGAACGGCATCAGTGACAATCTCTGATTCCTGTGAAGGCCCTCAGACGATCATCAGCTCCTCCTCCTCTGCTCTCCTCTCCCTCATGCATATCACTTCATGCCTGACCCCTTCTAGCTCGTTCTTGTCCTTGTCCTTGTCCTCCTTTCCTCCTCTCCTCACCCTCTCGCTCAGGATCCCATGGCTCAGGATGTCTTGCAACTCGTCCTTTTTCCGTGCACTCCCCGCGTCGATCTGACAGGAAGGCAGAGGGGTGAGTTGGAAAAGGTGGAGGAAGAGAAGAGCAGAGAAAATGAGGATGGAAGTGTAAGAGATGGATGGTGAAAGAAAGACGAGAAGACCAGAGGGAGGGAAGAAAAGCAGGTGTGGGAGCGGGGAGGAGGGAGGAAGAGAAGGCGTAGCAGGAAGGAAAGAAGAGGAGTTAGTAAGGAAGAGGAGAAGGGAGGGGAGCGGTGGAGCTGGGAAGGTAAGCGGGAGAGGAAAGAGGGAGGAGAGTTTGAACAGGGAGAGGTAGGTGGCTGCACCTGTCGACGGATCTCCTTGTGGCAGCAAGGAGCTGTGATAATGATCTTTGCCCCCGCTGATATGCCGCTAGAGAGGTTTTAATGTTTGAGGGAGAAGAAGGAGAGAGGGAGGGAACGGAAATAGGAAGGGAAGGTGAGTGAAGTAGAGCAGGAGTGAACGAAGTGACTGTTGTTCAAGTTGGTTCTTTTGCTGTTTGTTGTCTGTTGTTGGTGTTTTGCTACTTTGGGTTTGTGACTGTCGTTGTCATTGATGTCGTTATTGTTGATGTAGTTGGAACAGGATGATGATGATGATGATGATGATGATGGAGATGATGATGATGATGATGATGATGATGATGATGATGATGATGACGACGACGATGACGACGACGACGATGACGATGGAGATGTGGAGGAGGAGGAGAAAGAAGAAGAATAAGAAGAAGGGTAACAAGAGAGTGAGAATCTGAAATTGAGCCGTAGAAAAGGAGGATGAAAAAAGATAGTGGGACAAAGGGGAGGGAGAAGGAACAAGGGAGAGGAGGTACCTGAAGATAGCATCATCCGTTGCTGTATCGCAAGCATGTAACGCAACCTGGAACTGAGTCAGCACGAGGGTACGAGGCAGCAAGAGACGTCCACCAGCACGTCAATCTTCTCCTGCTCCTCCTCCTTGCTCGCGAAGGTGTTGGATATGAAACCTTCCTTCACCCTCAGACGTAGCAGCTCGTTTCTTGCCCTCCCATCAGCCTTCACCTCCCTCCTCTGCCCTTTCCCTCCTTCGTCCTCCTGCCCCTAATCTCCCCTTTCCTCCATCTCTCCTCCTCCTCATACGTATCATACCTTGAGCAAAGGAAAGTCCAGCAGAGTTGCTCCCGTCAGCATCATTCTTGCAAGAAATCGTAAGCTTCTACATGCTCCCCCTCTTTCACCTCACTGCACTTCCCCCTCCCTCTCCCCCCCTCTCACCGCCTCTCCTTTCTGCGGCCTGCTGCTGCTTGCTTTTTCTACCTCTCCATACTTCCTCTCCTCTCCTCTCCTCTCCTCTCCTCTCCTCTCCTCTCCTCTCCTCACTTGTACCCCTTCTGTTCTCTCCTCATCTCCGCGTGTTCTTACAGGGTGCATGTTCAGCTCCCTGGCCCACTCGTTTGTCTTGTCGACAAGCTCTTGACGCATTTCAACACCCTGAAAGAAAACTAAGTGAATGGTGAAGTTGAAAGAAAAGTGAGTGAATGATGAAGTGACGTTGACCAATCTTCTCAAAACACATGCACATGTTGCAACAATGCAATCGAAATGCCAGACACAACAATTGTAATGAATCACAACAACACCAACAACAAGCGTTGTTGTCGCTGACGAGGAAGGAGCAGGGTGTGGGAGGAGGAGACATGGCACAGAGAACCAAAAATCTGCGCTGGCAGGAGGAAGGAAGGAATACCTTTGTCCTCACTTTGATCCCACACTTGTTCGTGAGGTAATCGTGAGCAGCAAAAGTCAAATACCCCTTCCCGCATCCCATGTCCAGGACAGTCAGCGGGGGACCGGCCTGTTCGTCGTCTAGCAGCGACGTCTGCTGACCAGTCAACCAACACCTTCACATCCTCACCATCATCGCAAACATGTCAGGACCTTGGCAATCCCTGAGTCCTTCATCAGATTCTCGAGCACAGATACGAAGTTTTGGATTTGTCGCAACTTGTCAACCTGGAGGCGATCAGTGGGGGAGTCAGATGCCCTCGCCCGCCCTCACCATCCCCGGTCTCGCTTGTCCTTCGTTGTTGGTGATCCCTAGAAGCTGCAGGTACTGCTCTTGTTTCGACACGATCAAGTTCTTGGTCCTGTCGTGCTGCCGGGAGACAGGCTCCTCGAAAGTTGCTTTCTTCACCTTCACTAGCCTCGTCTTCTTCCCTATCATTATTTCCCAATCCCCCTCCGTCGTGAAGAGATGAGCTTGCTTGAAGCTTGAAGTCAGGAGACCTCGCATGTTCTCAACGCACTCCTCAAGGTTGTAGTTCTTGTAGATGTCATTGGTCTTGTGTCTGTACAAGAACTGCAGCGCAGCCTTCTTCTTCACCTCCACCATCCTCACGTAGATGTTGACCAGCGTCTTCTCCTCCCCCTTGTTCTTGCTTAACGTGCACTTTGCGAAAGAGCCGCTCGACACGCTCTCTGCTAGCAGTGAAACAAACTTCTCAACTGGGTCCACATCAGACTCCAAATTACTCGCGCTGCCATCGAAAGTCACCTTCGACAACACAAGGTTCGACATACCTTCCTCTCATCCTTCCAGCCAGCTGCCTCGGACATGCCCAACTCTTCCTTCCTTGGCTGATGTCGCAGGTTCGCAATTCCAGTCTCTCCCCCCTCCTCCCCCTGCTCCACAGGCTTGCAGCATAGGGAGACTCGAGGGTGCTCTTGAGAAGAGGCAAGCCAGCCAAGGGCGCACAGAAAGACAGACTCCCTGCTCCTCCAGCTCCTGCTCCTGCTCCTGCTCCTGCTCCTGCTCCTGCTCCTGCTCCTGCTCCTCCTGCTCCTCCCCCCAGCATGGCCAGGAACATCACCGGCAGCATGGCGTTCCGTCCCCTCGCTCATCGCCCTCACACCCGAGGTAATAAAGCACTCACCCACCAACCCTAGGGTGGGGTACTTTTGAGGATTAAAGGGGGTAGGGGTTGTTGAGAGGATTCTACGGCCTCCGATGGCGAAATTTATGAAGGCGCTTCTTGTCGGCATGATGGCGATGGTGAGGAGAGGAGAGGAGGGCAAGGGAGAAACAAGAGAGGATGGTACAGGAGAGGACGGGAGAGCAGAGGAAGTGGGGGGGTGGGCGGGGGGGGGGGCGAAAACTTGGGATCGGAATCATTACATGAGGGGAAGATGATTAGTGCAGGCCAACGAGGAGGATAAGGAGGAGGGGAACAAACGTGGCAGAACAGAAAGGATTAGGATCCCAAGGAGCATGAGGACGAGCAGGAGCGTCGATCGCGGAATTCTCTGCCATTTCTAGCTACATCTGACGACTCACCGCAGACTCCAACAGCCTTTGGCTTCTCTCCTTCCACCGTCTCACTTGCTCGTCGTGGTTTTGCCCCTGCAGTGTGCAGAACTTCTACAGCCTTCGGAAGCGCCCTCAGGTCCACTATGCTGCCCCCGCCCCCGCCCCCGCCCTGATCCTGGTCTCCTTACCCTTGCTCGCTTCTGCTCATCCTCTCTGTCCTTCTTATCGCTCCCCATGTTCGTTCTGTCATTGACGACGGATGGCGTCAGAACCTCTGTTCGCCCCATGGCTGCCCGCGGCATGTCGACCCTTCAGATGAAGGAGCGCGAGAGAACTTTCATCATGGTCAAGCCTGATGCCGTTCAGCGTGGGTTGGTAAGTTGGTGATAGGAGAGAAAACTGATATGATGAAGATGATGAAGACGACGATGACGATGACGATGACGATGACGATCATGATGATGATGAAAACGATGATGATGATGATGATGATGATGATGATGAGAGGGTGAGGAGGAGGAGGAGGAGGAGGATCTGACCTGTTGATGCAGGTTGGTAACATCATCACTCGCTTCGAGCAGAAGGGCTTCAAGCTCGTTGCTCTCAAGATGGTTCAGGCCGGTGAGCAGCAGCATCCTCGTTCTGCTTGCAGTCAGCGACTGAGGGAGAGAGCAGACGAGGAGCTTTTGCGCCAGCACTACAAGGATCTTGTCAGCAAGCCTTTCTTCCCCTCCTTGATGTCCTACATGACTTCTGGGCCTGTCGTCCCCATGGTACAACTACTCCCGCCCCTGCCCCTGCCCCTTCCCCCTGCTCCCCTGCCCATTTCCTACTCCTACTCCCGCCCTTTGCCCTCTGCTATTTGCTCTTTCTTCATTGTTGCTTTTCTTCTCTTCCTTTCTATGACATCATCACTTGCAGGTGTGGGAAGGCGATGGTGTTGTCAAGGCCGGCAGGACGATCCTGGGAGCTACCAAGCCCTCGGAGTCTGCTCCTGGTCTGCTCTGCTCCTCCTCTACCCTGACATGGAGCTGACTGGCGTGGTAGGAACCGTTCGTGGGGACTACGCGATCGATGTGGGGAGGAACGTTTGCCATGGGTCTGACGCTGTTGAGACCGCCGTTCGTGAGATCTCACTCTGGTAAGGATGTCAAGGGAGGGGATGGGGAGGGAGGAGGATAGGAAGAGGGGGAGACAGACAGAGCAATGGAGCAGAGGAGAGCAGAGGCAGGTAGCAGGGGAAGGGGGGGGAGTCGGGATCAGGTTACGGACATAGTATGCGAGACTGGAGTTGTCCCTGGGCCCGTTATCCTCCACTCGTCGCCCTGTTGCTCTTTCCGTGTCTCAAAGCTGCTTTTCAGGTTCCCCGAGGGCGTGACCAAGTGGGATTCTCACTCTGAGAGCTGGATCTACGAGTAGAGCTGAGCTGAGAGCTGGAACGGTTCCTCTTGTTCGCTGCTAGTAAAGTTGTAACAGTGGGAGATATGGCTGCGGATTCTGCTGGGTAGCTGTTGATCATGGGAACAAGTGTTATGAGGAATGTTGTGAAGTGACTTGATGCGCTTGCAATGTTTGTTTGTGTTGTTTGTCGTTGTACTCCATCGTGGAGTTAACGTTATCACCCAACCCGCGTATCCCCTTACTCCGTGTTCGACCCTACGACCACTCCGACCTCTCCTCCCACTTCAAGCCAGCACTGCCCTTGGCTCAGTTCAACTCAAGGAGCTGCATTTGCAAGGAATGCCGTAGTAGGTCTGCCAGCAGCACAGACGTCAAAGTTCGACTGCAAGCTCCTCCTCCTCCTCTCCCACCTCGTTGGTCAGCACGCACTTGAACTGCACCGCAGCCCCGGTCTTAGCAGGAGGGTCTGGCAGCTTGGGAGTCTGGGCGGCACCGAGCTTCACCTTCGGTGCTGGGGAAGGTTCTGCGGACTCAAAGTGAGGACAGCTCTGCTTCTGCTTTCCTCCCTTACCTTTCCTGTGCGTTGCTCGCCAGTGCTGCGTTCACGAGAGCATCAGTGTAAGAAAATGTTGGGTTGGGCTGGGGGAGGATAGAAATAGGGAGGGACACGCCAGGAGAAAGAGAACGAGAAAACGAAGAGGAGGAGAGGTAGAGATGGAGGAGAAAATGAGGAGGAGGAGGAGGAAGGGAAAATGAGGAGGAGGAGGAGGAGGAGGATGAGGAGGGGATCGATGGGCGTGTGAAGGAGGCGGCGGCGCGGCTGTTCCGGCAGGTGTGTCAGTGTCTGCGGCCTGCGCTCTCTCAGTTCATCCTGAAGCCCTTCTTCTCCTACCTGGACGGCACCAACGCCTGGAGCCAGGGCAACGACGTGAACTGCTTCGCGGTC